CAAAGACACACACACACTCTCACACACACACACACACACACACACACACACAGAGAGAGACACACTCACACAGAGACACTCACACAAAGACAGACACACACTCACACACAGTGACAGATACACACACACACACTCACTCACACAAAAACAGACACACACACACAGTGACACAGAGACAGACACACACACACACACACACAGACACTCACACAAAGACAGACAGACACACACACACACACACTCACTCACACAAACACACACACACACACAGAGAGACACACTCACACAGAGACACTCACACAAAGACAGACACACACTCACACACAGTGACAGATACACACACACACACTCACTCACACAAAAACAGACACACACACACAGTGACACAGAGACAGACACACACACACAGACACTCACACACACAGACACTCACACAAAGACAGACAGACACACACACACACTCACTCACACAAAGACACACACACACACACACACACACACACATTGTGATGTGTTGCTGTGATTTTTTTATTGTGTTTATTTCTACCTCAGCACAGATGAGCATGTTCATTCTATTAAAGTTCATACAGGAAAGTCATAAAACCATTACACAGACATAAACATATGCATGTCAGAAACACTCAGAAACACATTTAACATGTTTTTTATTCAGTGGAGTTTGATTGAAACATGAAACATTTGCTATAATATTAACTTTAACATTACTTTTCTATGATGTGCAGCCTTGATTACATCAACAGAAATGAAAAATCATTTCAGAGGCAGAGTAAGATATTATTATTATTATTTTAATGAAAAGCGCAATAACATGCACTGATAACAATTAGAATCACATTAAGATCAGAAACATGACTTATGAAATTAAATAGTCAATTTAATAGACTTAAGCTATAATATTTACATTAAAATTGCATATATTATATTATAAACCATATTATTTAAAATATTGCACTGAATAACTAAAGCAATACTTTTTTTAACATCTTTTGGACTTTAATATACTTAAATATTCCATATTTATATAAAAATGTAGATTAAAATTGTAATAATTGCAATAATATTTATAATATTGTAATTATAGCATATTTTAATATCATGCATATTTATATTATATATTACATTACATTATTATAGCACTGAATAATTAAACCAGTTGCAATATTGTAATATTAGAATTATATCATCAATGTTCATAATAGAATAGAATAGAATAGAATAGTAGAATATTGCACTGATTGATTAAACGCATATAAGAACTTTCATGGAAATCCAATCAGCTGGTCTCCTCACTTTGACCTCTGGCTCTGATCTTATGCAAAAGGAAGATGCATTTAATCAAATTCCCCCGGCGATACAGAAACTAATCGAATCTGTGCTGATGCGACTAATGGCTGAACAAACGCAATAAGAGAAGCGTCCTCTCCGTCACCCGGCAGGGTCAGAGGTCAAGCGCCACCCGTCACATTCACCTGAGCGCTTCACTCTGGCGCGCTTTCCCAGTCGGCTTTATTTACACAGCACTCTGATGTGAAAACAGACTGGTGTTTCAGTCCGTATATCACGCGGCTTCTGCTGCCTGTAGCTTAAAGGTCATCCGAGCGAACGAGAGAGAGAACGTGAAGCTTCTAGAAGATCTCCGTGACCTCTGCAGGACATTCATCCATCTCTCCACCCCTGACTCTACAAACACACTCAGGACTGGGACTGGATATCCAGACTAATTTCACCATTCAGACCCATTTCCATTCACAAGCACGCAATTCGATTCAATTGCATTGGTGCATTTTTTTCACGACGCATATATTAGTATATCGTGACGTTTTGCATTACTGTAAATGAGAATTACAGGGAAATGTTTTAAAATAATGCAAAAAAAACTACATTTTCTTTCTGCAACATATAATTTCTTATTTCTTGTGACAGGTTTCTTATATGCATGGATCATGAATTTTTCACCAGCAAATAAAAGTTTACTGATGCATTACATAAATGACTGTTTCTTTCATTATGGCAAAGATACTTTGATGGAAATGTGTTTCGTCATGAAAAGTATGCAAAACACTGCAATGCAAATCTACATTATCTATGACTGTTATTTCTATAATTATATGGTATATGTTTTAACTATATACTATTACATAATTACTATTATTATTTTCATACAATTTTCATTATGATTCATTTAAATCAGAATAAATTATTAAATCATACTGCACTGTTGTATGCATGGTGTATAAATATTTTGCCAATAAATAAACAAGAATTTTACTGATCATTGATGCATTGCATTAATTAATTAATTTATTTATTTAATGTTATTTATTTAATTGCATTATGGCAATAAGAATTGGTAGGAAATGTGTTTTATCATCATGGAAATTATGCAAAACAATGCAAAAAAATCTACCAATTATCCTTAATAGTACAAATAAACACTACAATATATTTTGTTTATGCAACATATCATTTCTTATTTCTTTTGATTTTGGGTTGACATATAGTGTAATATAGTGCATATATTTATCCTAATGTGCCTTTCTAGAGTTATTTTTTAAGTTTATGGACATTGAATGTGATTTTTGAGGTAAATGTGACATTGATCTCAAGCTGAACACTGACAGAATTTGAAAAGCTGAAACATTGTTTCATATCACAAGTAAAAATGCACAACGGTTATTGTGATTATCGGACAGCAAGT